ATGCAATTCAGAAGGGGAGAACCTAAGATTAAAAAAAAATACATCCTTGATTGCCTTTTCCTCTTTGAAAGCACAAAAAGAGAACTAAGTTTTCATATATTCTGATGAGAATTATTTATTGCACTGTTATCCTCTTTATTAAGGATGGACTGGGGCAGGTATAACCTCTTCAGTTCTCATGAACAAGAAGAGTTAGATTAAGCTGAGAAACAGTGGCAAACCACTAAGTGTAATGTTTAAATCAGAATTTCAACACTTTTCAAATTTCAACACTTTTTTCTTCAGCTTTTCTAAATACACTTCCTCCAGGATTGCTAAACTATAACCCCCATTATCTCCAGATAGTAAGACATTGGAAAATATGGTTCAGTCTATCAGGAAGACATCAGAATTCTTAATCTGATGCTTATTTGTTAACACAGTAGTTAATAACAGGAACAGTAATAGGTTCTTTGGATATATGATGATAGGATTATGTCCCTGGATACCAGCCAGTATTTAGCTTTGGGGACTCAGACAGACCTAATTATAATGGGAGGAAAGCTCCTATTAGTGCCAAGACATGTTATGCCTCCCCTGGGTGACAGTATGTACTGTAGTCCTTTTGTTGGAAGATGTTGAGAATGAAGCACATTAAAAGGCCAAAGAGCTTAAGGATCCTCATCTTGATCTGGTTTAGCCTATATATTGAAGATGTTAGAAGTAAGCTAACTTTAGTATACCTGCCTTTTGTGTCCTGATCAATGTACACCGGAGGACCTTATGGTAGCATGACAGATCATAATTAATGTTGCTAGTTTCCGGCCAAGATTTGTTTGACTTGTAGATATTTTAATGCTGTATTTTATATTTTATGTTGTATAATATGCCTTATTTTAATTGTGATGCTTCTGACATAAATAAGCAAACAAAGAAACAAACAAATCACAGATTTAGCAATGGTCAAATACATAATACGCCATACATGGTTAGCATGTGATTTTCAGTACAGATAGAACAGAATAGAATTCTTTATTGGCCAAGTGTGATTGGACACACAAGGAATTTGTCTTGGTGCATGTGCTCTCAGTGTACCTAAAAGAAAAGACACATTCATCAAAAATCATAAGGTACAACACTTAATAATAGTCATAGGGTACAATAAGCAATCAAATCACACTAGGAAACAGTCAATATAAATCGTAAGGATACAAGCAACAAAGTTACAGTCATACAATCACAAGAGGAAGGAGATGGGTGAAAGGAAAGATAGGAAGATTAATAGTAATAGTAATGCAGACTTAGTAAATAGTTGGACAGTGTTGAGGGAATTATTTGTTTAGCAGAGTGATAATGTTCCGGAAAAAAACTGTTCTTGTGTCTACTTGTTCTGGTGTGCAGTGCTCTATAGCGTCGTTTTGAGGGAAGGAGTTGAAACAGTTTCTGTCCAGGATGTGAGGGGGTCTGTAAATATTTTCACAGCCCTCTTTTTGACTCATGCAGTATACAGGTTCTCAGTGGAAGGCAGGTTGGAAGTGATTGTTTTTTCTGCGGTCCTAATTATTCTCTGAAGTCTGTGTCTGTTGGTGATCCAGGCTCTTTGGACCATTAAAAGAAAGTTTATTGTTCCAGAATGCCATTCACCCTTGTCTTGATTCAGTAGATCAATCCACATACAACTGCACATATGTTAATAGCCTTGGATGCTCATCAGCTGAGTATCTCTCCTGTAAACCATCAAGAGATTCCAAAACCTGTATTTTGGTTTCTTTTTCAGTGCTTTGCAGTCAACTGCTTTGATTTAATAGGGACTTAGTTTTACTCAGGGGATTTTTCTCATCTAATCACCCAAGTTATTGGTTAACAAGGTAGTTAATAAAAGAAACATATTTTTCGTTTCAAATTCCTGAATGCCATTAATCATAGCTGTTTGCAGAAAGCTCAGAGGCATTTGTTCCTTGAAAGCTGGAAGATGGATAGTTTTCATTACATTTGACCGGATGGAACTAAAAGAATATATATAAGTATAGTTATACACGCATGTGAGGGTCATGCCTCTGTAATGTGGAGCTAGAATGGATATCATTAGGGACCAATTTAAAGATCAGCTGGGATTAGTCCTTCCTGCGATGATTTTTTTAAAATGTATACTATAGGAGACCTCGCATGATTGCAAGGAATGGATGTATATCAAATGCAAAGAGAATGAAGGTTATCACCCACTTATAACAATATACTTTTTAGTTTTTGAATCTGATTTAATTTAAAAGATTTAACACTCATTGAAGTTCCTTATTTGCTTTCTCAGTACTAAAATCTCTCATTGAATACAAAAGAGTTCATTCCCAATTAGAAAAATCCCAATGGTCAATAGTGGAAATGTAAAGAAACTCCAAGTGAAATAGAAATAATTAGGAAAATTTGCATATGCGCAGAAATGGACAAATTGATAAAAGAATTAAAAAATAAAGATGAACCAGATTGTTACAAAGTATGGGATAAGTTTTACTGTTGGTTAGAAAAGAGAAAGGATCAAGATAGTAAGAAATGATTATATGTATACATTATATACTACGTATATAGAATGTAAATGTGTACTATTTTTATGTATGATTTAGCAATGTAAGACAACTATGCGGTTTAGGAAGATTGTACCACATTCATTGTTTTTAATGTTCTTTTCTATTTTTGTGTTTGTCTAATACAATTAATTTTTAAAAATTCCAATGGTTTACATCTATGGAAAAGTCCTATTTTACAGTGTCAAAGCTCTTTCTGCCTTCAGGGTGAGACAGTGTCAAAAAATAAGGTGAGGGAGGAAGTAGTATTTTGCATATGCTTATAAGTATTATTGTGTTTATTACTATTTCAGATAGGTAAGAATCAAACTGGGGGTGGGGGGGATTTTGGTGTATAAATGTAAGGTAGTCCTCAGTTCGCAACTAATTATTTAGTCACCGTACAAAGTTACAACAACCTTGAAAAGGTGACTTATGACCGGTTTTCACACTTACGATTGTTGAAGCATTCCCCATGGTCACATGATCAAAATTTGAGTGCTTGCCAACTGGTATGTGTTCATGACAGTTGCACGGTGTCCCGGGGTCATGTGATCACCATTTGTAACTTTCCCAGTTGGCTTCCAACAAGCAAAGTTAATGGAGGAAGCCAGATGTGCTTAGCAACTGCATGATTCACTTAACAGCTTCAGTGATTTGCTTAACAATTGTGGAAAAAATAGGATGCAAAATGGTGCGCAGCTCACTTAACAACTGTTTTGCTTAGCAATTGGAATTTGGGGCTCAATTGTAGTAAAAAGTCAAGGACTACTTGTACTGTTAAGATATTAAAATAAGTATAAAAAAGCAGGATATTATAGAACAAGATTGCTACACCTGAATTAAAAAAAAACACAGTGAAAAAATAAAAAAAGTTAATTACATCATCTCCTTCCCTTCTCTTTGTATCTTCAATCACAGCTCGTCCTTTAGATATTTGAACTTTGCATCAAACTTCAGTAATTGTTAGTTTCCATTTGAATCCTAAAAATTACATTCCAGATGACTAATCTGCCTTGTTTTGTACATAAGGGAACCATTGTTACTTGAATTTATTTTATATAATTAATTAAACTTCTATTGTAGAAGTAGTCTTTGACTTACTTCAACCATAAGGACCAGAAAGTTCATAATTAAGTCATGTGGTTGTTAAGCGAGACATCATGTTTCTGTGACTGACCACCTTGTCCCAGTTTTCCCATTGATTTTGCTTGTCAGAAGTTGGCTAAGAAGGACACAAATGGTGATCATGTGACTGCAGTACATTGTAACTGCCATAAGTGTGAGTTTATCGAGGTCATGATCATGCGAGCACAGGGAAGCTATGACAGTTGTAAATGCAAGGACCAGTTGTATTTTTTTCAGTGCTATGGTAACTTGGTCACTAAATGAATTGACATAATTGAGGGTTATCTGTAGATATATATGCTGTCAATTTGACCATTGGATAATACCTTCTGTCTCACAATGTCTTCCCTCCCCGCTCCCCTGAAAGCACAGGAGAAAACAGATGCTTTGAATATATGGTGTTACTGGTTGAAATTTTTGTTTTGTTACATTAACGTTTTCATTGTCAAACTAATCAGAGCTTAAATGAGCTTGTTGATTTCTGTTTGTTTGAGATAATAAAAGTCTGATAGTTATTTGCAAGACTCGAGTTGTATCCTTCTTTCCAATTTTGTTTCATTTCAGCTCCAGATAGCTGAAACTGAAACTGTTATCCTGGAGTTAGTAGCAGAGCATTACCTACTATAAGCTTTCCCGCTCCACCCCTCCAAACCTAAAAAACAAAGAATGCCTTGTTAGCTTAGATCAAACTAAGGCTTGTCCACTCAGTTGGTCCACTCAGTTAAGTTGTAGTTAGTCATTTGCCTCTGGGCAACTCCTAGTCAGGTTTTGAAAGTGATGGCATCCATTCCTTTCTTGAGGTATAGTTCCTTATTTGTACTCTGACATTTTCATTGCTCTGGTGATAGTAGTGCAATTAAAAGGATGAGCCTTTGGATCTTTCTTTGCCATTGTCCAGAGTGATAAAGAGTGCTGAAAATTGATCTGATAACTTAAAGCAGAGATGGACTGGAAGTAAGAAATATGAATTGAAAACTATGGCATATCAGTTTTTCATGTTGTATACAGTAATGTCAACACATTTTTGAGCCATATTAAAAAATAGCAGAATACATTATATAACTCCCCCAGGCCAGAGAAAATTGCATTATATATTTCTCTACGCTAATACAAATAAACATTTTATGCTTTCCTTCCTTTCGCTTTTCCTCCCTCCCTCTCTAAATAAATTATTTCTGTGTAGCCACTTGAGCAAAAGTCAGAAAACTCCCAGTAGCATATTTGCTGTATTAACATTTCCCTCAGAACTGGGGGATGCTTATTTTATTTCAACACCCCCCGGCCCAATCTACTACTGTCTGAACCATGATATTCATTTTCCTTTTTACATTTTAGGTACAAGGCCATTGTAAATCCAATGGATATTCAAGCACCCAATGCAGTCCTCTGGACTTGTATTAAAGCAATTGGCATCTGGATAATTTCCATCTTGCTAGCAGTCCCTGAAGCTGTTTTCTCTGAAGTGGCACACATCAATGATGCAGATAATGTCAGCTTCACAGAATGTATGCGCTATCCCTTGAAGGATGATCTGCACCCAAAGATTCATTCGGTGATGATACTTTTGGTATATCTTCTTATCCCACTCACCATCATTAGTATTTATTACTACCATATTGCAAAGACATTAATTAAGAGTGCACACAATCTGCCAGGAGAATATAGTGAACAATCTAAAAAACAGGTAAGTTTTCCAGATCCATGTAAGATTTATTTTAAGAAAGTCTACAAATTAAATTAAACTGTATGTTTAGTATACATAGTAGTAGGTAGTTCTCAACTTAGCAAGAGAAATTCTGCTTCCAGTTGTGGTAGTTAAGTGTTAAGGGAGTCATGTCTGATTTTAAACCTTTTTAGCCACAATTGTTTAGCAAATCACTGCATTTGTTAAGTGAACCACATGGTCATTAAGTGAATCCAGTTTCTTTCCTCGACTTTGCTTGAAGGAAGTGGTTGGGTAGGTTGTATGGTGATGACATATAACGTATCCCTGGCATACTGCAACTATCACAAACACATGTCAATTGCCAAGCACTCCAATTTTGAAGTGGGAATAATACAATGGTTGTATGTGTGAGGACTGGTTATGTTATAAGTCAGAGTGTAACACAAACACAACAAAATCCAAAACGTAAATAAATGTCCTTTATTGCCTCCAACTTGACCCCACTGTTCGATAATACTCAGTTGGAGATAAAACATACTTAAAAATAGTCTTCAAAAGAAAGCAATACAGTCCAGATTTAATAAGCAGATAGAGGTGAAATAAAAAACCAAACAAACTATAATGATGAAATGTCCACAATAGAACAGGAGAAGTATTTACCAAATTCAAGGAGATAAAAAAGCACAGTCTGTTGGAAGGACGCCAATCAAGATAACTTCAGACCAAAATAGAACATGCTTGCTTCTGGCAACCTGCGTTCTAACCGTCTCTCTTATATACTCATCTCTCCAGCTGTAACCAATGAGGAGGATCATGGCCGCTTCCTCTCTCGCAAACCAAGTTGTTGCCTTTTCCTTTCCTCCCTGTGTGTCCTAGGATGCAGAGGGGATGGGCCTGGTTCTTCCTCTGATTGCCCAGCTGGTCTCAGCCCTTCTCCAGCCTCCTCCACAACTTCTGGAGCCACACCTCCACTCCCTGTTGGCTGTTCCTCCTCTCCCTCAGAGTCCGACTCTACCAAGGGCATGGCAGGCTTTTTCAGTGCCATTGTAATTTTGAATGGTCACTAAACAAACAGTTATAAGTTGCAGATTATCTATGCATCACATACTTCTGTTTCTCCATTGTTATTTAATTCATGTGATATGGTCTGGATCAAACTCATTCTATGGGCAATAAAGAATCCTTCATCATATAGGAGGGCAAGAGTGGTGTGGTGGCCTAGAGGTAGAACTCTTGCCTCCTAATCAGGAGGCTGTGAGTTCGATCTTAGGTAAAGGCAGATATTTCTTTCTCTGTGGGCACATTGAGACTATATCTGCTGAATATAACTCTGCATTGGTGACAGGAATGGCATCCGGCCAGTAAACACTCAGCTCTGTTCAGTTGCTCAGGCTCCATCCCACAAGGGAGTACGGAGTCATTAAAAGGAGATGATGATGAAGGGCAAGTGGTGGATTAAAAAATTCCTATTTTTCCTCAAATGGGACATGCTTTTTTTTTTTAACAACAACAACAACACTCCTGACACCAATGGATTTTTGAAAAACAAGTTTTAGGCCTAGTAGAAAAAACTAACTCTACCATAGGCAGAATGGTTCCAAGTAAAATCATCCCACTGTACATTTCTACTTCAGAAAGAAAAGGAAGGTATGAAGTATAAGCTCAAATCTTTCACAGATCAACAGGCAAGGACAATTAATTAAAAAAACTAATGCTCAGCCCTGTCTCTTCCTTATGGTGAGAAATAGTGTTCCCGACACTGCACTTATTTCATGGTTAATAAACAAAACTCCATCAGACAGAATTCTGATCATATTTTGCAATTTCATTAGCATGTCCACACAGCAGATGTTCTACCAGATCCCTGCAGGCTTTTCTTCTAGTTTTGCGTAGCCTTAAGAAATTGCAGTTGTTGCAGGATCTCTTAAGTACTGCTTGTCACCCATTACTTAAATCAGGTTGTATCAAGGTAAAATCCTCTGCAAAAACATGAGTTTAATTGAATCTTTAGACTTTATAACTTATACCTGTATCAGAGTTTTATATGCTTAAACAAAAATTAAATACTTAGCCTGAGCATATATATATAAAGTGTCCCAAAAGTTACAGGGCAATGATCAAAATAAATGCCCAGTTACTGCAATTTTATTAACATTTAAAATTCACCATCTCCTGCTCATACATAGTTATTGATTTTTTAAAAAACAATCGATGTTCCATATTTCTTTTCTGGTTTGTTGCTAAATTTTCACTGCTGTATTAATTCTGGAGTATTGTGCATATTCCTTTTAAAAATATCCTTTAATTCCACTTTTATTATTTTTAGAAATAACCGAAGGCAGCAAATGTATCTAATACTCTGTCATCCTCTTATTTGCTCCACAACAACAACCCTGTGAGATGGGTTGGAGTGAGAATGACTGACCCAAAGTTACCCAGCCAGCTTTCATGCCAAAGCAGATCTCCTGGTTTCTAGCCAGAATGTGAGAACAGTTTAAATAGCCCCTCAAGCATTAGTGGAAATAGATTACAATCCTGTGCCCAGCTGTTAAAAGCTTGAGCCTTGAGCAATGGCCCTTATTTCGAGAAAGATTGCTTCAGAACAATCTATTTTGGCAATTATAATTGACACATGCTTTGTGAAGGCCAGAGTATTAGATGGGGAAATGGTTTCCACTACTCTAAATTAATTTTCTTCAATTGATCATCCTCTGGAAATGATGGGATTATTGCTCCAGAATTCTCCGATTAAACACTATGTTGAGTAGGGGATTCGGGGAGCTGAAGTCCCAATGCATCTTGAGAAAGTTGACCTGCTGTATCTTCCTGATAAAATATATTATATGAGTGTGAAAATGAAGGATAAATTCACTATAAGAATGTGAATGACAATTCAGTCCTTGATTCAGACAGACTCAGGAAAGACTATTCTTCGTTCTTCTGAATTTTAATTAAGTTGTCAATGGTCCTGGTTAAACAGGCCTTGGCAGAACTTGCACTTTGCTTCTCTGGGGAAGCTGATCAAACTGTGTGAACTTTTGTCTTTTGTCACTTTTTTTTCAGATGTCATTGGTAAAATTAAAGATGTCATCAGACTTATCTGCAATGGTATTTTAATCTAATCCAGTTTACATGAGGACCTGAGAATATGCACAGAATAATTGTTATTAAAAAGTTTGATTGGGAATTAGAATATAATAGAATACCTTTATTGTCATTGCATTCCATGAATACAAAGAAATTTGAAAGCTACTCCAGCACAGTGCCCCAAATACCAGATCACAATCACACTACAGAGTATTTAAAAATTAAAATAATTAAAATAATAATAATAATTAAAAACCTAGTCCAAAACCTATCTATAACATTTAGTAAGTTAAATAGTTTTAAAATGCCACTATATACATAGGAGTAAATCACAAATACACTGTTTGATTCAATACAATTGCTGCCTTGGAAAAGAAACTGTTTCTCAATCTATTAGTCCTCATTTTAAGACACCTATAACGTCTCCCTGATGGTAACAGTTCGAAATATGAATGACCAGGATGAGAATGGTCTGTGGAGATTTTTAGTGTTCTAGAGAGGAGTCTGGTCTTTGCAATATCTTCCAAAGAAGAAAGAGAGCAACCAATGATTTTTTGTGCTGTGTTTATAACTCTCTGGAGCATCTTCTTATCCACTGCAGAGCATCCAGCATACCACACCGTTACACAGTTATGTCAAAATACTCTCGATGGTAGAACGGTAAAAAGTAATCAGCAACTTCTCACCCAGACCACTCTTTTTCAGCAACCTCAGAAAGTGCAGGCACTGTTGGGCCTTCTTTGCAGTGGCCATAGTGTGGGCCGACCAAGTAAGATTGTCGGAAATATGAGTTCCTAGAAATTTAAAACTATGAACTCTTTCCACACAATCTCCATTGATATATAGTGGGAGAGGCTCTGCTTTGCATCTTCTGAGCTTTGCTTTCTTGCTCATCCTTGAACAATGTATTGTGAACACTGAAAGAAAGCATAGGGTCAGATCAGCTATTTTGTAGGGCAGCTCCACTGACTTCAGATTGTTAATCTCTGTTTATTTGTTCACTCTAGATGGAAACTCGAAAACGGCTGGCCAAGATTGTACTGGTTTTCGTTGGGCTGTTTGCTGTGTGCTGGCTGCCAAATCATGTGCTATACATGTACCGGTCTTTCAATTATCGTAAGATTGACCCATCCCTCAGTCACATGGTTATTACTTTGTTGGCTCGAGTGCTGAGCTTCAGCAATTCATGTGCCAACCCATTTGCCCTGTACTTCCTCAGTGAGAGTTTTCGGAGACACTTCAATAGCCAACTTTGCTGCTGCAGGAGGCATCCTCAACCAAGGCCTACCAGCTACATGACCAATTCTTCAGCCATTCGAATGTCTTCATTGGAGAACCATGCAAGGCACACTGTTGCTATGACAACCCTGCTGAATGGGCATACTCCTAAACAAGAGATGTCATTGTGATTAACCAGTGCAACATCTGACCTCAAAAAGAAATTATTTTAATGATCTTTCTTGTGGCTGGCCTCAGTTCCTTTAAAAAACCAATATATCCTAATCTAAGAAATATCATATTCTGATCTAAGGATAAGTATTTATTAATTATCTTCCTATCACTGTTGTAAGAAATGAAGTATATTATGCTTTACTTACTCTCGCCTGAAGAAATGCTTCCAAGCTTATTGTCTTAAAAGGTTGAACATAAATGAAGTATGAAAAGAGCATACATGCTCAGCTGCCACTTCAACGGAATTAGTCTAGATTTCCAGGTGTGTAGTTCTTGATAACTCTGGAAGTCAGGCATCTCTTTTGTCAAGAGTTTGTTTTTCCAGTCCCACACAAAGGCATCTCTGTTATGTCATCTCTGCTGAGCTTAAACAATGTGCCTGGAAAAAATAAAAATGTTACTTGGCTATTCTCTTTAAAATGATTATATTTAGATTGGATGACACTCCTAAAGAAGAAGAGCTTGAGAAAGCACCATCCAACTTGGTTGACGAGCTGTTTACAAAGCAGTATGACTGTAGCTGGATCAGGTGCAAATGGCACACCAAGATATTGTGTAGACTTGGAATTAAATAACACTGAAATGAACATGAATTTGGGCAAACTATAGGAGACAGCGGAGGACAGGTGAGCCTGGCATGTTATGGTCCATAAGGTTGTGAACAATTGGACATAATTGAACAATGCTGACAAACTGGGCAAACATCCTATATATTCATCTTTTCAGCTCTGGGTTATTCAACTTGAATGACCAGCAGCAGTCAAAAAACACAAAAATAATGAACCTGTAGTTGAACAAGACTTTATTGGCATCAAAAGACCTGGCTTTACAGCCAGGAAAGCTAAGGACAACTTCTGTGAGATAGTTCAGTTTGGGAGTAACCGTGGGAAAAGTGCAAAGCTCAGACTCTGATATTATGTTCATCTTTTTAAAAAAAAGATCCATTTCATATATTCCCATTGTTTGAAGAAGGAAAGCAGTTATAACCTTAGGTGCATTAATTCTGCTACCCATGTAAAGTTTTATTGCCTGATCCATGTTTGGATCTCAGAAAACTGGAAACAGGGCCTTTTTTTTTTTTTTAGCTGTATATGGAATCTTTGCAATTTTTGGTTTGATAGGTGGCAGCATGGGGTCAGGGCACCTGATTGTCAGAACCAGTTTTCTCCTTCCAAATGGTCATCTAAATGGGGAAACATAGATGTGGTAAAAGCAGCTTCAGAACTAGGAAACAAGAAGACAAAAAAGAAGATTGTTATCTAACTCATTCATTAGCCTTTACCTGATACTAAAAATGATATCAGGGATGGTGAACTTTTTGAGTTAAGTGCCAAAAATTCAGAAAATGCTTAACTTGACTCTGCCAGTGTGTCACCCCCCCAACTCCCAAACAATAAAGAAACAATTGTTGACTATTTTTTTTCTAAACGCAGTCTAATCATGTGTGTGATCCCCAAAATCTGCCAAAATACTTTCTTAGGAGCTGTAGTGATGCAGTAGTTATAATGCAATATTGCAGACTAACTGCCCACTTCCAGGAGTTCAATCCCCACCAGCTCAAGGTTGACTCAGCCTTCCATCCTTCTGAGAATGGTAAAATCAGGACCCAGATTGTTGGGGGCAGTGTGATGACTCTGTAAACTGCTTAAGGAGGGTTGTACCCAGCGCTGTAAAGCACTGTGAAGGGGTATATATGTCTAAGTGCTATTGCTATTGCTACTTTCAGGCAGTGTTCTCTTTCTACTGATCAGTCCCTGTGAACAGCTTCAGGCAGCTCTGAGTCCCACAAGTCTTTGTTCTTGAAGTGGCTTTGAAGAATGCTCTTCTGTGGCCTCTGCCGCTTCTAAAAACTCTGCAAAAGCATACCCCGATAAACTGATTTACTGCTCACACCTATGGATGACTTAGACCTCTTGTGGGAATGTAGAGACTCCAGACTAATTCCTCTTTTGACTCTCCCCCTAGTTCCTGGCAATCCTTCTCCTACACTCTATATAGCATAAGAAAGGAAACCTTAGCAATAAAAAAAAAACAGGCAACAAAATTTAATAAACAATTAGAATGATTTAACATTGGGTTATGACATGACAAGAAAGGATGAACTTGTAGAAAGGAATAAGATTCAATTTGTTATCTGTTGTTTATTATTTGTTGCTTTCTGTTTAGCATGCAGAAAAGGCTTGTGGCTGCTTATGTGGGTAGAAAAAGAGTATCTTTGAACCTTTGGCTCTGCTGTTTTTCCTTTTAGGAGATCAATGGGCCTAAAAGTCAATATGCGGTGTAGTTTGGTAATCTGTGACTAGTCATTGTCTTGAACTCCTGCGAAACCTTCTTCAGTGTTGTTTTAATAAAAAATGGCACCCCATATGGATCAATTCAAATGGATAATCTATAAATGTCAATATGCAGTTTGATATTGTTCTATGTAATAATCATTAAACGTGTTTAAAATAAAATATAGCATGCATGGCTTTTTCTCTGATTGAACAAAATGGCTAAAAAAATCACTTCATAAGCTGTGATCCAGAACATGTTACTTGTACTTAAGCTAAAACCTTTAGACAAACTGATGGTACTTTTCTCAGTAAATATGCATGGGGTTGTGCTGTATGTCCTATTTAGAAAAACGTGCAAATCTTTGATATATCCACAAGTTTTAGAGGCTTATAATGTTCATCTCAGAAAACAGGCATGAAGATTCAAACGTCTTCAAACTTTGCCTTCCTTAATTTTCCTCTTTGCTTTTCTTTACTGCTGAGTAAAGAAAACTACTACTTTCAAATCTGGTTTCTCTTTCCCTCTACACCAGGGGTGTCAAAGTCGATTTCATTGAGAGCTGCATTAGGGTTGTGTTTGACCTTGGAGGGCTGAGGGTGGCGGCCGGGGGTGGGTGCAGCCATGGTAGGTGTGGACAGCTTGACATTTCTCGTGTTGGAGGCACCTGTGGCCAAGTGCTAAAGCAGCACTTCCTTGAGACCCTCCCCCACTCTCATTATAATCTCTGTCCCTCCCTGTCTTCTCTTCTTTTTCCTTCCCCCTTCCTTCTCCTTTCTTCTTCCTTCCCCCCTTTCCTTATTTTTTTCTTCATTGGTCTCTTCCCTTCTTTTCCCTTTCTCCTTCCCTGTCCTTCTTGCATGCTCAAATGCAAAAGGGGAACCATTTCTCCTTTTGTTTTGTTTTTAGTTTGTTTTGCTAGCACTCTGTTTTCATTGGCAGAGGCACCATGGGCTGGTCCTTTGCTGTTTTCAGGCCAGCCTCATGGGCCTGATCTAAGCACCCTGCAGGCCAGATCCAGCCCCCGGGCCTTGAGTTTGATACCTCTGCTCTGCATCAAATTGAATCAGATCTTCATAGACCAGTATAAGGAGAGTGGAGTAGAGTCAATTAAAAAGTTTCACCAGAGGTTTCTTTAAAAAAAGAAAAGAAAAACTAGATGTTGAAACAGAAAGAATATAATGCATAAAAGTCTATAAGAATGTGAAAGAAGGGGTAGGAACATCAGATGAGTGTAAGAAAATATAAAAAATTACCATCCATATGATTATATCAAATTATTTTGTGAACTAGATGCTCAATAACTCTAATTTATGCCACAGGTCATTGTCTGGCAGTTTTGAAGTGCTGTTGGGCTGAATCTGGCAGGTCTTCATGTTGTTATAGAGTTGGTATCTGAAAGCAGCAAGGGGGTGCAGAATTGTGCACACTGGGTATTTATGTAATAATGCTAAGATGAAAATAGTGTGAATGCCTCTGTGCTATAGACACTAGAGAAAGACCATGCTCTGTTGTTTCTGTCTGTCCAGAATTGCAGAGGCATTCTTTCTCCAGGTGAGGAATTGTAATCAGGGGTGGGATGGAAATATTTTTACTACTGGTTCTGTGGGCATGGCTAGGTGGGCATGGCCATGTGACTGGGTGGGTGTGGCTTCTTT